AAAACTGAAAGTTACTTTTAAAAAGACAGCAGCATAGGTGGGATAATATACATGCCATTCTGTTGTTTCCGCTGGTAAGTGGCAGGATATCCAACAATGATAATTTCACATGGAGTTTTTTGAGAAACATTGACTCTCCTAGAACGGAATCATGGGGCTCTAGAACAAGATGCAAGCTGCCAAGAATGCATGTTTTCCCCATTGTTATGTTATGCTGGCTCTACTCACATGTTGGGAAATTCAGCATTGAATGCGTAAGAGGGCACATAAACCTGGCCCTCTTGACTTTGCACAAAAAGGGCAACAGTGCTGGCACCAGGGAGATACTTTCCCTTGCTGCCATGCTTTCAGCCTGTCTTGGAGGTGTCACTTTGGAGGAAGGCCTCATTGTAGTATCAGAGTAGACTCAGGTTGGAAAAGGAATTCTTTCAGGTGTTGTGGTCCCAAACTGTATACGGCTTTTCAGGTTAAAACCTACACCTTGAATCATGCTTGGAAGCATACAGACAGCCAGTATAAGTGGGCCAGAATTAGTGTCGTATGTTGCAAACCTTTTGCCTCAGTTATTAAACTGGCTGCCACCATTTACTCAAGTTGCAGCCTCTGAACTGCATTGCATACTCATGGCACCACACTTCAAAACTTCAGATGACCACACTCAGCCATTTCAAGTAGACATCATATAGCATGGCACTCTCATCCAAGAATACCAGGAGCTGGTTGGCTACAGCCTGCTGAAGCACCTGTAAGCTGAATACAAAAAGCTTGTGCCAGATCTGAGTGGATGATAGGTCTCCTCTTTGCTCATCTTTGTCTACTCACTTCTGCTGCCCCAAATATTCACCTCTCACCTTGACCATGTGACTCTATTCCTTAAATCCTTCTGCTGTCTGCTTTTGGATTTGGCACAGGCTTGTCTTTAATGTCAAAGTCCTCCATGGCCTTTTCCTTCCTTATCTTTCTGAGCTTATATCCCAATACATTCCTGTGTTTGGCTCAACCAACCCCATCACTGATCTCTTCACCAGAGCTCAGCCATCCAAAGGTTTCCTGATCTCTGGAGCAATTCCAGCTTGCTTGCTCTCTTGCTGTTCCTTATGGTGGAACTGCCTTTGTACAACTTCGTATCTCTTATTTCCCTTAAGCCACTCCCCAAAATTCATCTTTCTTGGAAAGCCTTCACATCATCCATCTAGCCCCTGTACTTAATGTAAGACAAACTATGCATGCTAGAAATCATTTTCCTTTGCTCATGCATGCTTCACTACTCCCCTTCCTCTGTTGTATTTTCCTGTGTTTTAGTTTGTTAGCACCTGTCATGTCTTTTGTTTGTAAAGCACTAAGTACATAGATATGATGAAAATGATTATAATGGTGATGTCTGAACTGAGGATAATCTAGGAGTAAAGCTTGTGTTCAAATATAAATCAAGAGCAACAAAGGGAATTGTGTAGAGGTATATCTGTAAAAGTCCAGGTCCCCGACTCCTCATTGTCAGAGGACAAATCCCCTGAGATCACAGAGAAAGGGCTTGTTTACATAAGAGTATTATGAGGTTCCCACCCCTTTATGGCCTAATTATTCAGAAAGGTCTCAGGAACCAGCTTGTACAGAGGAGGTTGTGCTCCTATCTTCAGATTTGGAAGATTCCAGCCACTGAAGACAGTGCCACACCCTCACCACCTTCATTAAATAGACCATGGAATAATTCAGAGCTCTCTGGGATACAATTCTGGTTCCCTCTGGGAAACCTGGCTCCTGCTTGGTTGAAGTTGAATTGTCCCAAGTCCTGACTATATAGTGAGTCTTAAAGTGGACAGCAATGCTAGGCTCTTACTGTGACAGGTTCAGTGACTGAAACAGAAACTCAGTGTCAATAATTCTTGAAATAGAATCCCAACCTTTCTGTTAGGCTAGAACATTTGTGTACATAAACATTAATTCTGCATCTAGCAGATTAGAGGTTTACTGTTGATAAAATCTAGATGTCAATCTTGGAAAGTTGTTCTCCTTAGAAAGGCATTTCTAAACAGTGACAAATTCCTTCTAATAACATGCTGTATCTTGCCTCCTGCCCACTTTCTCTTCCATTATTTCCCCCCACCCTTTTTCTTTTGCTTACTGTCAGCTGCTATTAAAGCCTTGGAATATCTGTAGTGTTCAGTGCCTGTGTCTTTGTTGATTGAAGTGAGATTTAAATATGTGCTTGAATGCTTTAGTGAATAGTTTTACACATGTGCTAAAGGCAGTTTCTTCATGACTTTCAAGTTTTCATCTTTACAGGCAAGAAAAGAAGTTTTACTCAGGAGAGTAGCCACATTTGCTATGTAAGAGTCCTTCTTCCGGTGCTTGCTTAGTACGAGAGCTTCTTCAAGTATAATTTTCTTTGGGAATAGCACACATTTTCTGAGCCAGATATGCTTTCAAATAATTCTAAATTTGCAAGTTGTGGTGAGTTGCTTATGTATTTTAGAAGCATATTTCACATGCTACTATGAATTGTATGTGTAGCAACTCAGAAGGATCCATGCATGTAGAAACTGTCACTTTCAACATTGCAAAACATGTTTGCGTATAATTTGAAAAGTCATCTGAAAAGTTCTACTAAGGAGCCTGGATACCATCTAGTTATCTGTTAACACACACAACACAGGAATGATGTGGTTAATCACACAATGTTCTACAGGACTGGTATCCTTATACATTGTTCTTCTCTTATTAAGCATTTAACCTCTCTCCTTGTTTGTGTCTTCAAGGCAATTCACACTATCCTTATGCTTGTGGTGCACCTGCTTGATTCCATTCTGGTTTCAGAACACTATGTTAGATTTTCTGGTGGTGTGCAAAATTGCATCCTGTGAGTGTGATGAACTGCTAGCTCACCTAAATACATATGGATTGAAAACAAGTAGGTCTTACATCTCAGTCAGTTGGCCATTATTATTATTACAATTTTTAAACATGTTTGTTCGGTGCATGATTGTTCATTCTTAAAGTGTTGTAAGAACTGGTACTCATAAGATAACTTCGGCCATCCCAATGATGTTTCAGTCAAGAGCCTCTCCAAGACTCAGGTCAATAACTTCTAGTCCAGGATGACCCAACGTAAACAATGCTTCTAGTCTGATAAAGATGCCCATTGCGTTAGCACACTTTGTGGCACAGATTGCATGCTTTGCTTGCGAATCAGCTTGCATCTGTGCTTGTAGCCCGGAAGTTACTGGGTGAGCAGCAGGAAAGGTTATGCACTGTGCAGGAAAGACAGCAGCACGACTGATCAACCAGTGAACATTACCAGTGTTCACCTACTTGGAATAACTTGAAACAGACACCTTCCTTAGCACATGACACTGTACTCTCAGAGCAACTCCTGAACAGCCTCTTTGAAGAACTGTGAATGTACTTCAGTTTCCTAGGCACAGGCATTGCTCTGGGTAGGCTCCACAGCTTTCTCCCTGAAACAGAGCCATTCAATACCTCTAACGTACGTAGAGCATATATAATGCTCTGTACATATTCAATATTTATGCGGAGAACAGATTCGTTTACATAGCATCCTGGCAAACCCAGTAGCAGGGAGGGTTGATAATCTGACACTTGCCAGATCATCAGAATTGGATCTGCCAAAAAATCGGCTGACTGTTCCCACCAGCCCGGGAGCCTCGCCTGCGCTCGGGGCTGCCCCACTCCGGCAGCCTCGTCTTCAGGAGCAGCACTTCAGCCCCCGCCCCACTCCCCACCCCCCTCGGCCGGAGGATTTATGGCTGGGGGTGGTGCCACAGACCTCTCGGAAACTCCTGCCTCCAGCACACTCGCGCGCGCGGCTCTGCGCGTCCGTCTGCGCCCACGAGAGGGGTCCGCCGCCGCCGCAGCAGCTCGGAGTCCTGCGCGGCAGCCTCCAGAAGCGCTCTCTGCGCTCTCGTCCCGCGTTCCCTCTCCCGGGAGTTCGTCGATCTCTCCAGCCGCCTTGCAAGCCCTTTTAAAGGGGCTGCGTACGCGGTCGGGGTGTGCGCACTCGCTCGCGAGAAGCTGCCTTAGTTGTCTCGGGGGCTCTGTAGGCTGGGAAGTAGCCACAGACCTCAAGCGAGCAAGCGGAGCGCGGAGCTGCCAACTGCCAAGCCAAGCGCCGGGCTCCCCTCTCGCTCGCTCCCCCTCCCTCTCCCTCTCCCCGGAGGCGCTCACGCAAGTCGGAAGCCTCTCAAAGCCTCTCCGGGGCTCTGCTGAAGTGTGCAAAGCGGCGCTGAAGACCAGGAGGCGACTTCGCGCTGGCTGCCGACGCTGAGCGAAGCCAAAGCTGCGTGCAGAGCCTGCTCCCGGGCATCGCGCCTTGCCACCCTGCCAGCCCCTCCTCTGCCGCCGCCGCCGCCGCCAAACTGGGGGCTGACCAGGCACGCGGCGGCCGCTTTAAGCCGAGCGGCAACGCAGTGGGAGGAGAATCCGAGGCGCGGCGAATTTGAGGGAGCGGATAAGTACCCGCGGGGAAGGACGCCAGGCACCCGAGTCCGTCTGGCTGCGCCGCCTCGCTTCGGCGGCGGGGTTCCCGGCGGGGCCCCGAGCGGCGCCCAAGTTGTGCGTTCGCCGCCCAATCGGCTCGCCGCGGGGGGCCTCGCGGCTCCGCCCCCCGCCCCGTTCCCGCCTTCCCCCCGCATGGGGCGCGAGGAGCCTGCCCACGGCCGGCACTCGTAGGCGCGCAAGGGGCTCGCCGCTAAGTGCGACCGCAGCGGCTGCGGCACCGCCAGCAGGAGCCGGGCGACGGAGCACAGCGCCAGCCCGCACGCCGGGGAAGAGGCGGCGCGCCCGTCCCCCGCTGCGCTGCGGGTCGCCACCCCCCGCCGCGCCCTCCCGCTTCTTTTTCCCGCCTTCCCTCGGCAGCCGCTCATGCCTTCCTGGCCCCGGCGGCGGCGGCGGGCGGCGGCGGCCCCGCGGGAGGAGCCGGGGGTGGCGCTGCTCTGATGTCCCTGGCCGAGAAGCGGGAGAAGAGCTTCTCCTTCACGCCCATGATGATCGAGGAGGACGCCGCCCTGAGGAACGGCAGCAGGGGGCTCTCGGGCCAGTGGGCGGACGCAGCGGCGGTGCGACCCCGCACCACGGAACGCCACATCACGGTGCACAAGCGCCTGGTGCTGGGCTTCGCCATCTCCATCCTGGCCCTGCTGGTGGTCACCATGATCGCCGTGCTGCTTAGCGTGCGCATCGAGGAGTGCAGCGGCGGCGGCGGCGGGGACAGTGCTGCGGACGGCCCGGCAGCCGGCAGGGCGGGCAACGGGAGCGTCCCGGCCGCCTCCGCCGGAAGCGCCCGCCTGAACCACAACGCCGCCGGGGAGCCCCCTGGCCGCGGGGGGGTGGAAGCGGCGGCCGCGGCGCCGGGAGGAGGCGAGGAGGAGCCCGAGCTGGAAGAGTGGCAGCGGCGGCGGGAGCAGCCGCCCTGGACTCAGCTGCGCCTGCCCGGGCACCTGCGGCCGCTCCACTACAACCTGATGCTGAGCGCCTTCCTGGAGAACTTCACCTTCAGCGGCGAGGTCAACGTGCAGGTGGAGTGCCTGAACGCCACGCGCTACATCGTCCTGCACGCCCACCGCGTGCACGTCGAGGCCGTCCGCGTGGCCGAAGACCGGCTGGCCGGAGCCCTGCGCGTCGCCGGCTTCTTCCTCTACCCGCAGACGCAGGTCTTCGTGGTCGTCCTCAACCGCAGCCTGGAGGTGCAGCGAAGTTACAACCTGAAGATCATCTACCATGCGCCCATCGAGAACGAGCTGCTGGGCTTCTTCCGCAGCTCCTACGTCCTCTACGGGGAGAGAAGGTAAAAGAGCCTCCCCTCCCCTCCCTGAGCGAGAAGAAATTCTGTTGTCCCACAGAATCCTGCTGGCCTTCCCGGTTCCTTACTCTTCCATACCGTGGATCGTTTCCCACTAGATCCAAAATCCAGAACATGCTCATTTCATTGTCTAATTTAAAAGCTGCAGATGCATAAGAAACACATTTTTAAGCGTTTTTGAACATTTCAGAAAACATATGAAGTGAAATTCAGTTGACCCAAACTTCTGGAAAAGTTTCCTTCTGACAGTACCTAAATGCTGTTTTTTTCCCTAGAAAAGTGTGCAGGTCAGGTATGTTCCCTCCCATAAGTTCATTTGGAGTACAGTCGTCCTCCCCATGTGACTTGCATGCATTTACTGATTTTTATTTATTTTTAACGTTTATATGTCTTAACTTTCTTACCAAAGAGAGTTAGGTAGAGGTGGGAAACTAGGACCTTGCATTCCTGCGATGGGAAGAGCAAAATATTGGAACTGTATTATAAACTTATTTAATGTTGTAGATCTTACTACTGACACTTCTACCCTTTAAGATGCTATGTTTCTGAAATGTAGTTAAGAGAGAAGGCCTCTTGCAACGTGACCACCATATAGAAATGCTAACAGGATTCTCATTTTATTCTTATGTACCTACCTTTGCATGCTGGATTCTCCTTAAAATTGTACCTGCCTTTGTTGGGTGAGAACACAATGCCAACGCAGAGGAACTTGAAACAATCAGAATTCTGTATAATAGATAGGAAAAACAGTGAGGTAGAGGGAACAATTCTGCATACTTGATTTCAGACATAATCCCATGCATGCTTAAATAGAATCCTTCAAGCTATTTGTCCTGGGAATTGCAGGACGTTTTTCCTGTCCAAACATGCAAAGAAATGCACCCTTGGTCTATCTTTGCATGTTATGGCTGATGTGGCACTGGTTTCTATAAAATGTGAAAGGCAGGATTTCCTGTTTCTATCCCTGTCTTGATCGTTCCTACCCTGGACAACTTCTGCAGGATTTAATCCAGAGAGATTCTGAGAGCCACTTCCAATTGTCAGTCAGGTCTATAAAGAACCACTGCTTGTCTGACCATACTGCATACTTTATCCTGGACTTCAGCAGTTAATCCCCTTAGAATGATACCTCTAAAGTGACACCCTTACTTTCCCCTCTTTATTGGTTGAAATCACCAAACAGTGTGAAAAAAGCAAAAAGGGAGATAACTTTAGAGATTTTGAAGATCAAGTTATTAGTGACTTCCAAAAAATTAGGCTAGCTAAAACAAATATTTTGTGGGCAAGATTCCCAAAAAAGTCACTACACGAAAGTAGTTGCCAGCGTAGGAGCATGCACACTGTTTGCTTACAGTGCGAGTATGTGTCACAAAGTCTCAAAGGACTTTGCACGTGGCTTTCAGGTGTCTGTTTGGCAGGTAGACATGGATCTGTAGCGGTGATCTTGAAGTGAGGGGGAAATAGCAGGAGGAGAGTTACTGGTGTGGGAAGAGCTAAGTGCTCCCTTCCCCCAGGATGCAGATCACTGCTCCTAAAGGCACTGTGGAACTAAGAAGGGGCATTGAGGCTTCCTTCCAGGTGCCTGCACTGCATTGTATCCTTAATTAAGATGGGATTAAGGGGCAGTATTTTCATGCCGGTTAAACAACATGTAATCACAGTATGTAGCTGTTGGTAACTGATCACACTACAAGATATAACATAGCTCAGTAAAAGTGCCTTGATTAAAAAATACATATGTACATCATTTTTGTCCCAAATAAAGTGAATAGGCATATTTAACATTACATTCTGCCACTAAATAGCACATGAAGAGTGATTGACTGTGATAAAAATCTTGCAACATAGGTCTGATTCATCTTTTTCTCCTAAATGTAAACAGAATACATACAGCTGTGGCTTTGTTTTCAAAACAATGGGGCTTTAGAGGATACTTCTCTTCTGTTTGCTTACGTATGGCTGCATTTTATTAACAAAGTTTGTGATTACTCTGTGGGGTTACTCTGTTTCTTCTGACTGAGTTACAGACCATTTAACAAGTCTGTGTGAGAACAGGCTTAGATTTTTATTCATGCAGCAAATCAAACATTAAAAGCCAGGCTTTAGTTTAAAGAAAGCAAGACTGGTTTTCTGATAGCTTTGTTAGCAGAGATCTAGAATAAATGCATTTTTAAACTGCTTGTCATTGAAAATCCAGCCACAGAATCTTACTCTGTAAAGCTCATCATTTTTTGAGAGTCCCTGCTGAGCAAATGGTTTGCTTAAGCAAATGCCATCCAAAAAGTAAGAAGAAACTCCTCCAATGCAATTATGCCGACATTCTCTTTCTTACACCTGTAATGGGTACTGCAGATAATAAATGTGGTTGAAGTTAGAAGTTCATAATTGACCATAATAACTGACATGACATGATTTGTTTGCAGAGACCCATAGCAGGGAAAGAGTCACTTTGCTGAATCTTTTTAATGCATTAAGAAGTCAGCAGTCTTTGCTCAGAAATATTAAATGCAAAAAATCTGGTTAGCTACTAAGCAGTAAGTAGCTACTCAGAAACTTTGCACAGTACCTTGCAGCATTATGGTATAACTGATCCTCCAAGATATCCATCTTTAGTTTTGGATGGATAAAAACTTTCCTAACAAGTCCAATAAAAATCTTGGGGCAAAGAAAATACTGGCACAGAAATAATTCCAGCATGAAATATTAGCACTGCAATTGCAAGATAGTTTTAGAACATTCAAGAGAATAAACACTTCCTGACCTATTTTTGGTTATACTCTTAGCATATACAGTTGGTTTTTCACTGTTCATAAATTTAGGATGTGCAGTTATTCTGGAATAAACCCCATTGCACTTGATGGGGCACACTTCTAATTAGACATGTATAGGATCAAACTGCTAATTACATTACCCAGTTGTGGGACTTTCTTTTGTCTTAACATGCACAGGATTTTGTTGTTCCTGCATTAGGCAAAATTTCAAACAGCCATAAATTGGTGCAGCACCATTAAAGTCAACAGATCAATAGCATAGTGAGGACTGAGTGCATTGTTCACTATTTGGCATAACCATAAAACTTTTTTTAAATAGTGCCAACACCGTATTACAAGTGTCTGTTATGTGTTCACTTTTCCGAAATGTGAGCAGTTCAGTGGGGCACCTTAAGAATATTCTTCCTGAAGAGGGATGGGAGGAGAAAGTGTGGCAGCTCCATCCTACAACAAGATAGGCTGTAGCTATAGTCATTACATAATGGCCATGACATTTTTGAGTAGTTGATGCAAATTACTCCATAACTCTAGAATGCAATCCAAAACCGCAAACACACATTTGCACATTTGTAGTGTTGACTGAAGCTGTAGAAAAACATGTGTCTGGTGACTTAATTTGTGTTCTGATTGCTGCTTCATTCACGCATTTAAAATCCTGTAGCAGATAGTGATAGAATTGTTTCTAGTAAATGGGACACATCAGCTGTTACTCACTTAAACAGGCAAATGCTTGCTTAAGTTCCTTGACATTTTTATGTTTGGCCATCAGGGTTTGAAATATATTCCATGTAGGTTGTACATTTGAGCCAAATGGTCTTGTTGTTCCCTGTGTCTTGACGCTGCCAAGCAGAGTATGACTTCCATGTAAGGCTTTGCTAACTTTTCCTTAAGTAGAGCAGGACATTTTCCTTAACCCTTGGCTGAATAGACAAAACCCATAAATCTTTAAAACATTTTTGGCTCTGTGGGAATCCTAATTTTGCCTCTTGGGTGGTTTCATTTTGTCAAAAATAACATGAAAATGCTATAATAAGTCATTTAATGCAATAAGTTGGTGATATAAACAAACAGGTCTTTGGATGTCTTCTTTAATTGGACTAATGGTACTTTGATGCAATATGGGTAAATATTCAGTTTTGTAATATAGCAGAACAGAGCAATTTCTTCCATCCTGACAGCTTGGTTTTTTATTCTTATAATGCTTAAGGTGTCAAAATAGACAAGTTGTTGAGGAAACATGCCTACCTTTTAATCGAAGAAATGGAATTAAAATAGCTGCAAATAACTGCCGTCTGTACTCAAAGAAGCCCAACTTGCAAGACTTTCATTCCTTTAATTACACATTTAGGAGGTTACTGTGTTGTCAGCTAACATGTAAGTTCCTGCGTTTGAGGAAGGATATTGTGCACAAAAATCTGGGTGCAAGTCCAACTGAACGCAGAGTTTCTGAGCAGGCATATATAGGATTGAACAGCACATGCAGGCTTGCGGTTACATTGATTCCAGTATATTGCTCTAATAAATAATTTTCAATAGTCAGGTTGGATTGCATGTCCTCGCCTACTTTGCATGTTGAGGTCACCATGCACTCAATGTACTAGCATGCCCTGTAGCTCTGAACAGATTTTATCCTTTTTTCTCCAGACTGTTTTGGGAGGTAAGATCTTAATGACATTTTCAAAATTATACAACAGATGTAGTTAATGTGAAGTTAATGTGAAGACATGTAATTTTGTATTATACCTTGAAGACTGGGAAAGGCATTTTGAGAACTTGTATAAAACAGAATTATTATTTTTTAAAGGCAGGTTTTTTGACAGAATAATGACTGAAATCTTGCTGTTATAAAAGTCTGTTGCAACAAAAACAACAGAATTTCATTAGCCTTTAAGGTTAGAAACTTGTTCTGTCATATGCTTTTGTGGCTTGTAATCAGTTTCATCAGATGTATACAACATGTGTAAAGCTTTATCTTGTTGTGACATATCATAGTTAGAAGACAACTGGGGTCCCCAGCCTAGCATTCCCAGGTGTTGGTGCACCATGGGGACCATCAAAGGGTTCATGCATTTTTCCAGGCCATGACCCCTTCAAAAATATATTTTTACTTAAAAAAGATCTTGAAAGAGTTACATCTTCAGGTTCTCCTTCATGTTTCTGAACCTGCTGCTTAGCTGTTGAACAGAAAGAAACGGATCCAGCCAACTGTCTTAC